CCATGGACCAGCGGGATTCAGGTACTGATGGCTGGCCTCTGCCGGGTCCTGTGGGAGAACAGACAGGGATGGGCGACACATGCTCTGTTCCTTCTTGTCGAGGGTCAGGGTTGCGGAAGAGGAAGGTCGTACTCTTGTTACTGAACCAGACTTGGGTCTGCTCGCCTGCACTCACAGTAAAGCCAATCTACTGACGCCGCGTTGTGGCGAAGGAACGCGTAGCGTTAATTTCAGGGCTCTGAGCAAGGAGTCCAGGCAGCTAAGGCTCAGAAGGCCTGAATGCCCCAGTGGCGTCCCCATACGGAAAAGTTCTTAAAACAGGGTGAGGGAGGGGGTTGTGGGGTGTGTGATCAGCTCGTGGACATTCTCTGGTTGGTGGTGAGGTCATCAGGAGTCAACATCATCAGCCTTCTGGTTCCAGCCTGGCTGGGGTCTGCGTGCTTGTGGGCAGCCTGCAGTTAGCCTCGTCCACCTGGTGGGGGTCTCAGTCCCTGCAAAACAGCTCGAAGGACGTGGCTCAGAATATTATCTATAGCCTTTGAGGAGGAACTGAATGTCCCTGACTTTGTTTAATGGCTAAACTATTATCATTTTGTCTAGATTAACTGTTTTCCTTTTTTTTTTTTTTACATTTTCCCACTTCTCTGATTAAATATATTCTTTGGAACTTGGGGAAGGCCTAGGAGGCTAAAGTTTTTCTGCAAACAAAAGGCAGGCAGAGGACATAGGGTCCTACTTGGTGCCACTCTCAGCTCTGGACATCACTGGAGGGACCGAGCTGAGTCTGAATTCAGGAGCACTGTCCCGAATTCTGCTGCAAAGGCTGTGCCCACCCAGCTTCGAATTCCACCATTGGAATCCTTTGCCTTTGCTTAAAGCTTTGATTTCATTTATATTGGAAACATTTACATACTCATTGGTTGGTTTATCCCACAGCACACATTTCTTGGGCATAAGTTGGGCTATGGCCCCGGGAGACTGGAGTGAACAGCACTTGCTTGTGGCCCAGTAGGAACTGTCTGTAGACTTGGGAGGCAGGCGAAAACACAGCAGTAGCTAGTGTGATGTGTGCCAGGATGGAGGGGAGCACAGAGGGGCGATCGGGAAAGCCAGCAGAGGGGCTCCTGATCAGGCAAGGCCCAGGGAAGACTTCTTGCCGAAGGCTGAGCAGGATAAGCCGGGGGACGGGGTGGGACAGACCCCTCCTGCGGGGGCACTGCCTAGCCTCGGCAGAGACTCACGTGCAAGGCTCAGGCCGCCCCTAATAGCCTGGAGGCGCTGGAGCAAGGAGGGAAGGGAGAAGGGGCAGGGGTGGGGTTGCAGGTCGAGTTCTTGAATGCCACACAAAAGAGCTTTGGTCTTGATTCCCTCTATTACGTGGGGCTGGTGAAGGATTTGGTGAGAAGAATCCGCTTTAGGTAGGTGAATTTCTGGTCATTGTCCTCCCAGAGGGTGATTTGCTAAAAAGTCACAGTGACCAGTGGGCCTGCCCTTCGTACAGCGCATCACAGTCACAGTGTGTTCTTGTGCGCCTTCCCTCGTTCAGCGCCCCCGTGTTACCGTTTGCATTTCACAGACGAGGAAACTGCAGCTCAGGTGACCTGGCTGCCCCCCCCCCTTAGCTGCCTCCTTGCAGAAGGGGCACAGGGGGAGGGGGTGCCTGGGGGAGCAGTTTTCTCCCGTGATTGGGTGACAAGGACATGAAACCAGGGTCAGGAGACTCGAACGAGAACGGACGATGCCATTTCCTACACATGAGCTTGGGAAGCCGTTTTGTCGTCTTCATTGCCTCCTCTGTAAACGGGGTGCCCTGGGTCTGAAAGCTGGTGGGACAGGCCATCTTATCAGTGGGCTCCACCTGGGGAGAATCCTGGGTGGGACTGTCAGACAGCGGGGTGCTCCCCGCAGGACCCTGCCCCCACCCCTGGTCGGCCCCGGGCTCCAGCTCCCTGACCACAGGGACTAGCCGCCCTTCCTGCAGGTGCCGGTGTTAGGGCATCATTTGCTAACTGGCTTTGCATTTGATAATGATGCTTCCAGCTGCCAGTTGTTGGCTGTTTCCTACATGCCGAGCGCTCTGCGGGGCACTTGAGTTGTGCAGCCCGGGCTAGAATCCCCTGGAGGTCGGCACAGTTGTCTCCATCTTACAGAGAAGGACGTTGAGGCTCAGCGGCATGGCCGGTGAATAAGGCTTTAACATCAAGCTGCCACCGTCCCCTCCTGGTTGCTTCCTCCTGCTCATTGATCCTTGAGTAAGATGACCTCCCGGCTCCTTACTGCTCCCCTTTCTTAAATTCGAAAACAAACTCAGGAGATACCAGTACCCACTGATTCAACAAGGTGAGTGCTCCTATGGCATCTCTGCCGTCACAGCATCCTTCCAGCCCTCCCTGGCAACCGGGAGAGGCTGGAGATGGAGCGTCTCAGAAGTAAGCAGATTAATTAGCATCTCGAGGACCGAGAGCGCTCATGTGACAGTCGAGCTGCCCGCGTTTTGCTGACGCCTTCAGAAAGTGAAGAAGTGTTTGCTCTGTGAGCTGAATGCAGGGAGTCCTCGCAGGAGCCCGCAGAGGGGGCCAGATGAGGGGGTGGGGTGGCAGTGGAATTATTAAATATTGAAATTGATCAGGAGTAGCAGCAGGAAGCTATTTATCATGTTTTATTGCTTCAAACTAGCATTACCATCTGGCCCATTGTTAATTCTGAGTAGCTTTTCATGTTTTGTTTGCCTCTTAAATTGCTCTCTGTGAGTGGACTCCATCGGGGCTGCCCACAGTGCAGGCTCGGGGAAGGTTTTTCTGAGGTCGGCAGGGTCTCTCTGTCTGCTGACCCAGCTAAGAAGATGAGAAAACGTTTATTTTTAGTACATCCAGATGCGTGCATCCGGGGCTGGGCTCTTCCAGGCCTTTCTGCCACACCTCAGCCCCTGAATGTGTGGAATAACAATCGTTAGTAGTAATAGCAGTTTTGAGATCTCCGCCTACGTGCAAATATCACTGCGACTTCTCACACCAGACCTTCAAGGTGGGTAGTCATGTCCCGTTTCGCTCCTGGGGTTCCAAGAGCAGAAGTGACTTGTCTAAAATCCCATAGACAGCGAGTGGCAGAAACCAGATAGGAACTCAAGCCTCCTGGCCCAGGACGCTGTCCCCAGTCCAGGGCCACACCAAGCGGGTGCTTGTTCGTTTTCGTGATGGGGAGGGGGCGGGGCCTGCAAGGCAGGGAGGTGAAAGGTCAACTCACAGAGTACAGGGAAGACAGAATTGGAGTGGGAGGTGGCACCTAGTGCACGCACCTGTCCCCTTCCTTCATCCTCAGAGCTTATACTCCTGTTAACATCACTCCTGAAAGGACATAACTGGGGGCAGGGAGTTCCGAGTGTGAGAGCCATCCATGGCTTATAGCAGCGGTGGTCTACAGAGATCTCCCTCTGCTCACCTGCTGTCCAGCATGAAATGCCAGCCCATTTGGATAAGACCATCTCCCCACACCCAAACAAGTGTGTCCAGGCGCTAATGCACCTTCCCTTTCTGGAAGCCAGCCCAGACCTGCCTCTTGCCCTAATGAGACTCTGGTACCCACCCCGCGGGTTACCAGATCCCTGATGCTCGGGGCCTTTATGAAATTTTATCTGACCTGCAGGAGGAGATCCTGCTATTGAAATGGAGAGAAAAAAATGGTGTTTAAAAAGATTAGAGAAGAAAAAAAACCAAAACTAGTAAGAAAAAGCATACACGTTATAAAATCTAAATCTTAGATAATCCATTTATATATATATATATATATAT